ACACACACACACACACACACACACACACACACACACACACACACAAATATATCCCACTCAAGAGAATATACACATACAGAATTCCAGCTCGAGAGCTCATTCAGCAATGTGGTCGGAGATGGCACAGCTAAAAAGCGATTAGCAATAACAGTTTATTATTTTCACCTGAGGAAATACTTTGGCAGTGGAGAGCGCTGTGCTCTCTCCAAGGTGCTGAAACAGCACCTCTCAATAACACAACTATTGCATGCACATCTTCTTGGCTACAGAAGTCGACTGTGATTCATTTGTAGTAGCTGAAACTGAATTTTAAGAATGTGACCCGTATGACTTATCAGAAGCTTGCCCTGTTGCACTATTTGTACGTATTGCATGTTCCTGAGCACGTCTCTCTCAGCATGTTCTGGCACCTGTGAGTAATATGTACACCTGTATACCTCCCACCAGCTTTTTCCTCAATAAACCCATTCTTGAAAAAAAAAAAAGTGTTTTCCAAAATACCTCCAAAATGTAATTCCAGCCCTTCTCGTTGAAGACGTCATCCTGGAAGTGTTCTCTGTATACCTCCTTGGCCTCCTGGATCTTCTCCGGGGTCACGACCTTTCCTAAAGAGGAGGAAGGGACCCAAAATAGTAAGCGTTGATTGTTTTTACACTTCAGTTTTTTGTGTGATTTAAAACAAACAAGATATACGGTGTTAAGTCTGTGAGCTTTGAAGCTGCTGGTAGGAGGATTCTGTTACCCTTGGACAGAGCCAGGCTAGTGGTTTCCCCCTGTTTTCAGTCTTTGTGCTAAGCTAAGCTAACATGCTGCTGGCTCCACCTTCAGATTTTGTCATACTGATATGAGAGTGATATACATTTTCCAAAACACAAAACTATTCCTTTGACTTCTTGGTATAGAACACTCTCCATATAGGGAGAACAAATGACAGAGCGTGTCACTATAATGCCAAACGTTAAAACTCCCTGTCGTGAAGTTTCTTTTGAAACCTAATATGGTGATATATATATGCTTTCACTTTGACTCTTCCTTTGCTGCACCTCTCCCTCGATGAAAGTACAGTCAGAGAGATTAGAGTTCACTCCCTGACCCGATGTAGAAGACTAATGACGCACACTTTATGGTTTGATGAGCCGGAGGACCGCGGATGCGTCTCTAATAGTCGGGCTAATCATTGAGCGCTGACGGACGCTCTGCGCGGACAGCTGGTCTTTCTCCCTCATACGGTGAAAGAGCAGCTGTGCTTTTGTCCCCCCCCCCCGGCACCTCTGCTCCCGCACCATGAAATCCTCTTAAGAGACAGGAGGGAGATGCTTTCTCTCTCTCTCTCTCTCATGCCCCTCAGGATCACACTGGCAAACTTAAACATTCACCTTTTACAAACTTGAGTTAATTAAAGCATAGAAGTTGAATGCATTATACTTTGCCTCATTTCAGCCTTTTCTCCTTCTTAACCTGCTGGCTTTGTGTTATTCTCTGCACAGTCTAATCAATGTGAAGCACATTGAAACCTTCCGTTTTGTTTTTTTAAGTGCGTATAAGGACTGTTAAAAAAAGCACCTGCCCTGAATCTTGAGCCAGCTCCAGGCATGCACTTCTGCATCTGACCCTGCACTACTCTGACCTTGTCCCGGATGGGGGGGAGGGGGCTCCAATGGGGACCAACAATGCATCACAATAAGCTTTTGGTATGCACCCTGATTGCAAGCTGTACTGGGCAGCTCCCACAGAATGTTGGTGAAAGCATTATGTGCAGAGTGGATTTGGTTATGTTCCCCTTATATAATCAGCTGACTGGAAACACATTTACATCAACACAAACAGGAAGAATTGGTAACAGCGTTGGTGGCTTCATAGGGCAAAAACCAGGACTCACCTTTCAGGTATTTGTTGAGGATGTACTGGAGGCCGTAGAAGACGGTCTTGTCATATTTTACTTTTCTGTTTTTGGTGGGGTCGGTCCTCCTCTCGCGGCACTCGAAGTAGGAGTACACTTTACTCGTGTTGGGGGGGTACTGTTTGTAATGCGTCACCTGCAGGGAACACGAGACACGATGAAGCACGGCGAATTTAAAATAGAGCTTTTCTGCCCTGAAACCTAAAAAAACAAACCATTGTCAATGAGCAAATGTTTGCGCTTACTGAACTATTTTTTACTGAGGAGGTAAGAAAAGAAATAAGCTCATAGTATAAAAATACTGGATTGACCCGCCCTTCAGAGGAACTGACGAAAGCTTTTATGTAAACACTGAAACACCTTTAACGTTGCACAGTATCGCTAGAATGTTGATTACAAGTCCGATCACGCACAGTTTTTTGGACGCAAATGCAACAAAACATATGCCAAAGCAAATCAAATTTGAATTCAGAAGCTCACTGCCAACAGACACGGTCCCGAGAGCTATTCGGGGTCACAACTCAAAGATTACGGAGCGCTGCCAATGTGGTGATTATCTGAGATTAGAGCAAACATTCCAGTTCAACAAAAGACCCATCAATCAATCTATTGTATTGGACCAAATAATACAGTGCTAAGATGTCACAACCGGGGCGAGAGTTTTCCCCACACGTGCACGCTCTCCATTATTCTGTATTATTCAGAAAATGGGAGCTTCCTGTGATCTTCTTATCCACTAAACGGACTGATCCCTTAAACATCTGACATTCAAAATCAAATGTGTGTCATCAAATAGTGTGTGAGACGTGTGTCCAGGCATGTCTGTCTCTCACTCACTCACACACACAAAGAATAAACTGTTTCAGAGGAGCTATATCTTAAAGATACAAACGCGTATAAAAAATCCCAGCAGAAACGAAAAAAGATGTGTCAGCTGTCATCAGTTAAATCCAAAAATAAGGGATTTCCACAGAGCACACTGGAGCAACTCCCACAAATAAAGTTAAAAGTCGACAAGAAGGTAACAGCTACCGCTCACTCTGCCATTTTGTAATCCGATATTTGCTTTCAGGCTGATCTGCTTTCAATATCCAGACGAAATGTAGATTAAAAACAATTAACGCCAACGCATTTACAACCACAGGACTCCAGAGACGCCAAATGGGTTCAATCTCGCTGTGTAATAAGCTGCACTCACTGAATATCAATGGCGAAACACTGCAGGTCTACCAGTTGCTTTCAGGATACACTATTGTACGAGGAAAGAGAAGGTCATCGTGGGCCTTGTCCTTCTTTTGAACACAACCTTGGGGGAAACACTTTCTTACTGTTGTAAATACATAAAAGTTTATGTTGGAGCCACAGATATAAGCCTGTGAAAATGGTCTAGAAGAACATAGAAGAAGGCATTATCCAAAGCGACTCCTGGCCGTTCACAGTTTGTGGAGAGGAGAAGACATAAATGTCAATGACCTACTCAGTTTCTTTGACCCCTGCCTCTGTCCTTTCCTCTGGGCCTTTGAGGACTCAAAATAGACTCAAGACACACAACATGACACTAGGCCTGGCCACGTGTGTGTGTGTGTGTGTGTGTGTGTGTGTGTGTGTGTGTGTGTGTGTGCAACATTCATTGGACCGCATGCCAATGTATACACACAAACAAATGCAACAGTGTTGTTTGCAAGGCGCAGACACTAGCCAGGCCTCTTTGTGTATTATCTAATGCAGTTATTCACTTATTATCTGATATAGTAGTATAATGACGAGTAATAAAATGGAAACCTTCACATTATAAATCAGACTATGTAGCCTCTGTGATTTGCGAGTTTTGATGTAAGGAGATCTGGCTTATTTCAACGTGCCACCCATTAAAGCTGCACAAATCGATGAATTATATTATCAATGGGTAAAATAACTACGTGCATTCTGTCACTAGTTGTTTAGTGACAAACCCGCTGGGGTTCATCACCAAAACTCTGCAGTTCCCTTCGGCTTTAAGCATCTTTAAGCTTTTACGACCCTCGACTTTGCGGTTTTGGTCCTTTCCAGGGAAAGATGCTCGGAATGACTTTAAATTAGAAACACCTAAAGCTGCAATGATAAGACAATTTTCAGGCATTTTATGGACAAAACGATTAATCGAGAAAAAAAAGAAATCAGCAGCCTAATCGACAATGAAAATCACCGTTAGTTACAGCTCTAGACAACTGAAAAGCTGACTCTGTCTGAACTTTATGGTGGTGAAGTAATTAAGAATGCAACATCACCCAAATTACTAAGTTATACTGACTGAAATAGAGACACACACAGTACACAACAGTATAGAAAGTCCAGGTGGAGTCAGTCATCTTCTGTTATTTTAAAACATGCTAATTATTTCACTGTGGCCCTTGTATGATTTACTGCCGTGTCTTGAACATGAGAAGAGAAAGAAATCCTGATCTGACCACCAGAAGGGATTTCTCTCAGGTGCATCTGAAGCAGTAGCAGCTGTTCCTGTGGAATAAAGCCTAATGGGACCGCCCCTTTACCTAAATGTCACAGCTTTAACCCTCACTGTAGCCATCCTGCTCTGTGAAAATGTGTCCTCCACCCCAACCTACCTACTTACTCACTGTAATTCTCTCGAGATTTAAGAGTCACAAAAAACGCCATGTTACATAAATGTGGTCACATGCAAAAAAAACAACACCACAATGATACTTGTGTATCCAGACAAAAGCTTGGCTTTTGGGGCTGAGCCATAGGGCATTCAGGTGCAAATAGTTTTCACGTCCTGTGGACAAAGTGTGTGCGCCTCTGGTTGTCGACTGATCTTTCTCTCTCTACAAATGGTATTGCCATGCACAGTCAACATACCGTAATTAAGGCACACCCAAACGCATGGTTAACTGCAGGTGAATTTAGCACACTATATGGAGGACTCCTGTCCTGAGACAGCTGGGCCTAAACGACACACATACCTGGTATCTAAAGGGAGCAAATGCAGCCTGCTTACCGCTCGAGAAAGAGCACTTTGGGAGAAGTGCGTTTCCTGAAGCGCTATGAAAAGCCATTGAGGGGTAAAGAAAAGCGATGCTAGACCATCCCAATTTCTACGAGGGAAAAAAAATAATAGATGTTTTGATAAATCATTGTTCTTTTAATTGCTTTTGGTAGGAAGATTGTGACTGTGACACCTTCAGAAGGAGTTAACAGGGAAAGTCTTTTTTCCTAAGCAACTTCTCAAGACTTCTCAACCTTGACATTCTTTATGGAGATAAGCTACGAATATATCTGAAAAACCATGAAAATGAAACCAAGACGGGACATTTCCAAGAAATTGAAACCGAAAGTGTAACTGCACCGTGTTAATAATAACTAAGTACATATCCTAGAATTGGAGTCCAGGCTACACAAATATTTATTACCATTCCAACGGTAACGCTACTCACCTACAATAAAGAGTTTCCTTTATGAATCTAAGAGCTTGTAAAAAATGTTAGACTATATCTTAATGGTGGAAGGAGATCTTAGGGGAAAGCAATAGCTCCATTACACGATAAAGCACCCGTTTTAAATGACCAAAACCTCAGACACTCTCAGAGCCTGGCTGAGAACCAAAAAGAGTGCATTACAGGTTCATTAACATACACTTGTTCATCACTCTGTCAGAGAGAGATATTATAGAAAAGACACAGCTTTCAACGCAGTAAATGTGCATGCATTTAGTTACATCAGACTATATTCAAAAGTTCATTCTGCATTCATGCAGTTGTTATGTGATCTTATTCTGGACCTTTCAGTTTTGAATGTGTTTGTCGCTTGTTTTTTGTCCTTCAAACTGAACCTCTGCCGGTGTCCCTTCCTTCTCTTTCGTTTCTGCCCTTCTGTCCCATCAACACCGTCGCGAGACTGCTTTACATGGAAACAGTCCCGCGCCCCCACCACCATGCTACGTGCGATGGTACAAGTGCATTTGTTGCCCGGCTTTCATTGTTATTTAGCAATAGGACTTATTGCACTTTAACGTTACCCACTGTTATATTCGCCATTAATGCTTTAAAAGGCCTCCATTCGCCTGAGTCACACAAGCACATATAACCTTAAGTTACGTGAACACTGACTCCTTGACTTTCGGTTTTGATTTCATGGAAGTGAAGCATTGCCACTTTTTGCGGCTAACCACATGCCATCGGCTAACATAACGCCTCGGCTGGGCTCTTGAATGAGACTTTATCCGTGTGCAGTCCACCTTGCTATCACCCAGCACTTGCTAGCCAGACGCTAATATTAGCTCTTTTTAAAATATCAATCCCTTTGCGCTCCCGGTGAGCTTAGCAAGCTAGCTAATACAGCTAGCTTGATACCGCTATGAGTAGCACAGCCGATGGCGAAGTGTCCTCGCAATAACCCGATATACTTATTTTAGATATAAGCTAACGTTAGCTCAAATGGGGATGCCAGCCTTTTGAATTTGGTACCCGAACTCTCCTCCTTTTCCTCCTGCCCATTCGGCCTGATGTGATCCGACGGAGACCCGGCCACAGAAAGCGGTTTGATGGCCTTGGGACCGTTGATGAAACCACCTTGACTTTATACATTTTCATCCATCAGCCGCTCCTCTCCCCCCCGGCCTCCCTCCGTCTAAAACCGTCGCCGAGTATGCCAACATTACCTTGTATGAATCGGTCGCTAGCAATATGCTGAAGTCGGTGTCTCTGTGCTCCATCTTTTCCCCTCCTCGGTTGTGAGTCAGTCGCAGCTGTCAGTGTGTTGCGTGCGGTGCTGCCGGGGACCCCTCCAGCCTGCTAGTGTAGCTGTGTGTTGGGGGGAAGCAGGAGAAAGGGAAGGACGAACCGAGAGAACCGAGCGGGGGAAAGGGCGGGCGGACTGTGTCGTCACAAAAAAAATCCGGCATCACTCGGCTATATTCGGTTATACTCGGGCCAACCCAGTTCATCCAAAGACTGTTAATACTTAAGATGACCCCTCACCCATGAATACAAGACACCCAAGGGTAAATAAGATATTATTTATTTTTCATATCATCCCATCATAAAGAAACTGTACACTTAAATAAACTAATCAGTCTTAAATATATGACTATTTTCATCGACAAAGGGTATACATTTTGGAATTTTCTTTATTCTCAAGCAACACAGCATTTAGGAGACTTTGTATATTATAAGAAAAAATGACAGCTATGTATCTACTGGAAATAATGCACCAGTTGTGGGTGTCTTAGTGGATTATTCATATTATTCTATGTAAATATAACTAACGCAATAATATAATAATATAATTTAAAAATGTAATAGTGACAAGTACAACATATACAATTACAACCGTTCCAAAATGAATTCATTTTGAAACATTATTTATTACAACTTTCAAATTGTGTGCCATCAGATGGGATGGTGTGGGGAAACTGAAGAACATAAAATCAGCTAAGTAGTTAATAAAATAAGTAAACGCCTTTTGCTATGGCACCTTTGGATGTGAATGACTGCTCCCAAAAACAGATTTAAAAACAATATTCAGTTTGTTTAGAGCACGGTGAGAAAGTAGAGCAGAAGGGGGCAGTGTTGGTAATCAAATACTGTACAATACCAGAAAGTACATTATAAACCTCCCTTGAGGTATCTTTTTTATGTGTCATATCTATATCATAGTGTCGAGGTAAAAATACACTGAAATTGGCTTTTTTTTCTACATATATACTGTAAGCATAAAATCTATATTTTTGGCACTAACGAGCTTTTCACCAAAAACCACAAAACATACACACATTTTCCATACTTTAATTGTAAAGCTCAAACTGTCAGACTTCCAGTGAATTACATATATCAACAGCTAGTCCCCCGTCTGTCTGATGCCAACCACTGTGCACACCCAACGTGAAGTGCCTGGCTGGCTGAGTCCCGCACCCATTTAGCGGGACGGTGACAGATTCCATCCCGCTGGACCGACCCTTTCCTCGGCCTGCGGGCAGCGACTCTCCCGACCGTCTGCTCCCTGAGAAGGGAGGAGCTAACTGTGGGACAACGTGACATTTCCGCATGTCAATTAAAAAAAAACACAAGAGGAAGAAGTGGATATGTGCTGCAGTGCTTTCAGTTGTACAAGTGCCCAAAGTTTAACATGTAGTTTCGGTCACATGATGCCAAGCCCTGAACAGACACCGTGCAAGGTGCCACCTCTTCTCAAGGAACACTCACTCCGGAGTGTTTTTTAAAGCTTTTTGAGCTGAAAGCAAAAGGAGAAGACAGAAGGTGTAAACAATGCTGAAATTTAAGCCAACATTTGAGCTGCAGAGAGATGTGGTGTCTGACATCTTCAGGAAGGAGGCATCGGTGTGCAGGGTGAAAGGTGAGGCGTTCAGGTGTCCACGGTCAGATATCTGCCTTTTCCGTGTCAAACTGTTTTCTAAACATTGTGATAGTTTGTATCGCTTTGACCAATAGATAGCTAACAATGCTAACAAGAAGTGTCTTGGTTTAAGTCCGACCTGCCACTGTTATTACAGAGTCTAGAGCGACTCTGACTGTGTTATACATTTGTGTTATACATTTGTGTCAATTGTGCGAAATTGCATCACAAATATCTCGGTGAAAATCTATCTACTGTCCCATAGTTTCAGTTTCCAAAGTAGAAAAAAAAAACTGAATCACCAAGTAGTTAAATGTTATTACGTATGTACCAGTAGATGGCGCTATTTACTTTTCACATTTCCCTTCTAAATACTTTGTAAAGAAAGCAAGTCAATTAAGGAGATATTACGTCATGATGGAGAACAATTCCAAATTGAAAGATTAACTCCAGGAAAAAGTTGTAAAAAATATAATGCATTTCACGAATATCCTGAAATATCTAAAGTTGCATGATTCCAGCACCTACCATCCTATATTGAATTGGAGAAAGTTTAATATGAATTTAATGGAATAAAGATCATTTCATTTCCAGTGTGTACAATCTCAGTACCAGTTACTGGTTGACATGAATAATACCACACTTTTACTAAGCAATCACACGTTTACTGTGACATTGTAAGAAATAATAGCTCTACATGTATGACACTTTTACCCCAAATTTCCTACCGAGTACACAGACACACCATAACACACAGGTTGAAAGTGATGCGTGTGACAGTGGTGCGTATGCAGCATCATATTATCATAACATTAAGCGGCACATATAGAGATTCCTGCTATGTCGTTCATCTACACATCTGGGCACTTTACATGTGAAATAATAAGTTATTATACAGTGGAAACACACCAAATAATTATTTAACATAACACTTAGTACGTTCACCATGAGCAGTACCAGGGATCCTAAAATACGACATGATGAGACGTATAAGTTCATAATAATGATGCTGTGTCTGCAGAATACTCTGCAGCAGTGGACACTTGTATCCTAAACATTGAGAGAGATGGGGGCATCCTTTACTCATGGAAGGTAAGTCCTGCAAATCAATTGTTTTCTATATTGAATGTATTCGTTAAGTCAGAGTAATTATTATTTGAATCTACTACACTTTCCAGTTTAGTTGTGTGACAACCTGCATTGGTCTCACTTCTTTTTACTGTCGCTGTCATGTCGCGTGCATTGTCTTGTCTTTTGTTGCACTTAAGCTATGGATTACTATCCAATGTTTCATACAAATATACTGTTTATTTGTTTGTTTGTCTCTGTGCAGTGGAACATGTGAGTAGCTCCGTGTATGTTAAGTATAACACTATATGCATAGTGTTTGCCTGACTAGTCTCTATCTGCTCTCCCGGTCCTTTTATTGAAGTCATAGCGAGTGAAATATTCAAATCCCAAATGCCATTTTCTCCACCATTCATCATCAAATGGACACGACCAAATGAAAAAAAAAAAAACACTCTATTCTTTTATGCAGATTTCTCTGTAATTCTGCATGACATTTTTCAGAAACCTTGGGATCCTTGCTTGAATTTAAAATATAGTTCTGTGTGCTGAACCGTGTTTCTCTGCACAACATCCATTTTTAATGACAGATCCACCAAAAAGTCAGTGGGTTTAGTAGGTTAAAAAGACAGTGTGCAGCCTGCAAAGAGGAAATAATCTCTTTTTTTGTGTGTGTGTAAGGTTCACAACTTTATGCATTCGCGGCTGTGCCTTGGGTTTCAGAATAGACTCCTTCCTTTGTTTTTCAAAAATCTTCTGAACCCCCCAAAACCTGGTGAATCGCTGGTTTGAAGTGAAGCAGCACTGTTTAGGATAATTAGCAAGGTTAGGGAAGGTAATGAAGAGGTCAAGCATGACGTGCCACACACATCAGTGTGGTGGAAGACACCAGAGGGACAGTAGGTTGACCCCGGTCGGGACAGATTAGGATTTTCCATCTCCGAGTTTGATCGATTTAATGACCTAACTACTGTCCTCTGATAGGGAGCAACAGGGACCACCAGGATTGGGAAATATGACTCCAACACCAAACAGAACAAGGTACAGTGTGTGTGTCCCACATCGCCTTCACTTTAGTGCAGCAGATTTTGCTTTTGTGCACGTGTGCACGCCTGTTCCCATATGGCTGTGTATTCTCTCCCAACAGCTCCTGTACACATTTGACAAGCAGGTGTGTGTCAGCAGCTGTTCACTGAACAGTGAGGAGACGCTGTTAGGTGAGCCTCTGTAGTGCACAGTTAATGAATTACCTGCAAATAAATCTGTCCTCTTGACCCCCAAATTAGGGAATTAAGTGAGCGACCTGAATTCTGGTCTAATTATCACTTTCTTTAGAGCAGTTCAGTATCCTTACAACATTACGATTATGCAAAGTGGGGACCCAAAAGAACGAGGCGAGGGACACAGTTTGGCGCACATTATTGACTGTAATGGAGCCAAATCATACTTAAAGAAGTGCTGATTTAGTGTAGTCTCTGGGAAATACATTTAAATTAAGTCACAAGACACCTTGACTGTGCTTTTTTTTTTTTTTTCTCCTCTCAGCTGTCAGCTTGGCACAAAACACCAGAGGAGAGGAGCGCCTCAAACCAAGTAACACCTCTTTCTCTCCGTGTCAGTCACAGACCATGACATCGACCCCCTCATGTTGCCTTTTTAATCTTTCTTCTCACAATCCTTCTGCCTTAGTATCCAAGTGTCTGACTCTCCTGATTGAAATCTATCCCATCAACAACACTAAAGTCCTGAAGGCAGTAGACTGCAGGGTCAAAGTGCAGGTAGAGTTTGTGTGTGTGTGTTTTTTACGGCAGCCACGAGCTGATGTTGCAGTTGTGGTGCTATTTGCGCTAACAGTGTATGAGTGTTTATTTTGCAAGCTTGCTGAAAGTGCTCTGACCTGTGGTTTCCGTTCTCTCTCTTACTCACTTTATCACATTTTCTCTCTTTTCCTCAGCTATATCTTTTTTTTTTGTAAATATTATTTATGTATATTTATCAACTCCTGCCTGTTGGTTGCTCGTCATATTGCCAAACCACAAATGTAATTATATGCCAAGAATGTTTAAGGGCTGCATTAAAATATGAAAATCAGCAAATAGATTTCTCCATCTGGTAACTGTGAACCACCAGATGCTGACTCATGCTTTCTGTGGCTGTCCCTAGTTCCTCAATTCAGAGACTGACAGGAGATCAGTGCTGGAGAGCCACCTGCTGCTGCTGACTGAGGACGGATGTGAGTCTGCGTGCCCTTATGCTCGTCTGCCAGTGTGGGCTATGTTTCCTTAATCTGTTACGAAACAGATCATCAAATTCAGAGATATATACATAATCTGGCTTTTTGAATTTGGAGGGGGAAAAAAAAGAAAATCAGCATTCCCCGGTGAAAACACGACATTGGATATGGCTGTGTTTATGCATAATCCTTCTGTGCTTTTCAGATGTGGATCTCTATCACGTTCTGCTGACAAAACAGGAGGGGTATAGAGTGGTACGTTGGACTCTACATTCACCACATTGCTCACTTCAGCCAGCTCTTTTTTTTCTTTTTTAATCGTGGATAGTTCCCACAGTTTAACTATAAATTGCATAGAGGGTTTTTTTTTCTGGTTAGTGGGCTTTGTGCAGGTTTCTAGAGGTATAAATCCTGCACATATCTGGTAATTGATCAGGAAAAAGGTTGGAACGTATTTACATAAGCCAGTGCAAAGAGTATACATGGTTCTGACCTAATTCCCGGAACATAAAACTACACTGTGTGTTGTGCCCTCCTGGGGAGCTTTGCATTAAGAATGCAGTGAGTCTACAAAGCTGAATATCAATGCGTTTGTGTGAACCAGGTGATGGCGAATCCCGAGCGTTTGTCCAGAACGACAGAGAGAATAGTTGAGGACTTCTGCTGGGCCCAGTGGGACGGACACGCACAAAGAGTCTACTATGTCACCCATGATTTGACTCACACACAGGCATGTACAACTGTACTTGTGAGGACAATGCATTGAATTCATCCATAAAAAGACTGTTTTATATATATATATAGCACACAACTAATTTACTTTAGACAATAACACGAGATCTGTATCATGTGTGTTTCACAGGACAAGTTCCTGATGCGATGTGTTCAGTTTCACCCCAACCATAACTGTGAAACTGTGGTAAGTCATCTCCATGTCTTTTGATTTTATGACTTACTTCTCTTGTGCACATGTTTTTACCATATGTTACCACTATAACATACAATTGTCTTGCTTTATATTACTCTACCACAGTTGGAACTCCCATTAGAGTTGCCTGCTAATATCTTCCGCACAGTCAAGTAAGGCAACAACTACAATTACAGTTTAAATATAGGAATATCTTTTCTCTTTTCCTAATTTATGAGGTTAAAAGACCCCAAATATTCTGATTTAGTTTACTGTGTGTGTGTGTGTGTGTGTCCGACAGGTTTGTAAATTTGGGTTTTGACCATTATCACGTGGAGAAACCAGAGCAGGAGCCCGTTAGGATGAAAGTGTTGACAAACAGATTAGGTAACACATCCACACACACACACACACACACACACACACACACACATCCTTGCATGAATTATGTGTTCTCACACTCAACAGATGTACATAAACCGAAGTTCCAGCTACATGAGTAATTCTGTATGCGTGTGTGTGTTTTTGCATTTTCTCTTTGTGAAAACAAGAAAGTAAGTCCCCTTCACATCTCAGAAGCTATATGTTACAATCTGCAGCACATAATTCACAATCTCAGTGATGATACGATGATCAAACGATTGTTGGAAGAGTTTTATTCCAAAATGAGGTGCTGACCAATGACTATCAGGTTAATATGTGTCCGCAAAAGTCAAGGTTTTATAATTGGTTAAATTATTTAATTATAATATCAGATTAAAAGTCATTTTTAGAATGTTATTTATTGATCAAATTGTTGATTGAATCTTTGATTACTGTATCAATCCCTCATCCCTATTCCTGTCCTCTTACTGATCGATAGGCCTTTAAAAATCTATTAATATTAGGTATTAATATGTGAAATATTTGTCCATCCAAATGTATCACAACTGATTGAATTTCTCATTGATTATCTTGAATAATTGCCACGGATGTGCATGATCCATTCTTGATGTCACGTACCGTGTGATCCATAACGACTCTGTCCCTGTGGTTTCATTTCAGGAAGCATGTGTGTGTGCTACAGCCAACCTCTTAAAGACAAACAGGAACTGATCTACACTGTGGTTTTAGTCCACAAAGGTCTGTATGCTATCTAATGCTCTCCTGGCAAAGAATCTATAGTACCTATTTTTTTTTTTATTGCATTTTTCTCGGCTCCTGCAGACTGCAGCAAGACGTTCAGAGTATCTCTGGGCGGCGACCAGTCGCCACAGAAAGCCACACAGCTCCATCCGCTCTTCATCCCGATAGGTCATTGCACACACACAGAGATGCCAAACAGTCACACACACACCTCAGAATCGTTGTAAATTCAACTCAAGTGTGTGACCGTTTAAGGTTGACTGCCAAACATTCATTCCTTACCCTTTTGCATTCAAACCAAACAAATACAAATGAGCACATGTATCCTCATGCGAGCTAATAAAAGGTCTGTCGTGCATACTGCATACCGATACAAAATATTAGTGATTCTGTGTTATTTCTGTATGTAGGTTACCACATCCTGGTGTATCTGCAGGGCTATTTCCTCCATTGTATCAACACCAGGCAGCAGGAGATGCTCTGTCACTCCCTTTTCCTCTCAGGTAAAACAAATCCTGTCTGAGCTGAGTGATGGCTGTGGAGCAGTTTGTTTACCTCCTGACTCAGCTGCAGTACATGCTTCTATTTTGTCCTGAAATGTTTGTTTTAAAAAAAACAAAAAACATATAACCTGTACAAACACAGAACTGTAATTGCTATTTGATCATAGAAATAGTCTTATTCTCTCGCCTGTCCCTCTCAACAACCTCAAGGTCGTGACGTGGACTTGGGCCTGCAGGGTCAGTCAGCTAACGTCACGGTGTTGCATGCAGAGGAAGAGTCCAGCGGCAGTCTGCTGGACCTGGCCAGCGGGAGGATCTACACTGCTGAGCTAAGCCCTGCCTTCCTGCTGCAGATACTGCGGTCAGACACTCCCTCTAGGTGAGCATGATTCGGAACATTTTGTGGAAATGAAGGATTTATGTATACTGGGGTTGTTATTTATATACATAGAGGCCTCCTCTATGTATATATACTGTATATTTTGAGAGAAGAGGGGAATATAGTTCGGCAGGAGGCAGACAGGTGGAAAGGGGACATTATTTTTTGAGGTTATTTTTGTGAACACACCCCTGCAGAGTCTTTCTGGAATAGAACAGCTTGAGCTTGAACCGTGGCCAGCAGATTGGATTCAATCCATCCTGCTCAACAACAATGCATCAGTGACCCCTTGCTTGAGTTTTTTTCTTGCTTGTTTCTGTCCTATTCATTCATTTATTCACTCTACTGTTGGCTGTTGGCTGTCTGCCTGTGTCGCCGGCCTTCGTGCCTCTGTGTTAGTATTCGATTATGTTGTATGAAAGTAAATTTGCCGTATGTCACCTCGGTCCAAGGTGTCCCAGCAGTAAGGCTGACCCTCAGCGCCTGGCCGCCCTCCACTGCCTGCTGGTTTACATGGGAAATGACCCAAACCTGGAGCTGAAGGTACAATGAAGGCAGGACAAATGTACTGACGTTTAAAGCAAATTTACTGAGTTTCTGTGTCAAAGTCAGCATCAGGTAAACCTCAGCTCAATAATATCTCCTTGTTAAAGGGAAAGACTAAATGCAGATGTGAGAGAAGGACAAAAAGAGGCAGAAAATCTGATGGAGAGTCATCTCACCTTTAATAAAACCTACATGGTTATGTCACTGTAAGGGGCTTTCCTTCAAAGAAAATGAACAGCTAAGTAAACAGATAAAGGTGGAGACGGCAGCTCTTGTGCGCTTCTGTGTGAATTCAGTGCGTGTCAATCTTGAGTTGAAGGTGAGGAGATGGAGGGAAGACAGAATGCTGTGATAACACATGAGCGGAGAGAAGACAAGTGGACAGAGATCACACAGAGTCCAACAGAGACAGAAAGGGGCAGATATTCTGTATTTGGGCGCTGACCATGACTCAGAATTTATTAGTACACCTAAATTAAGATGTTCCAGCTGCTCTGATAGATTGTAATACATTCTTTCTTTCGAGGTTATGTGAGTCACCAGCTTCATTAGTGCGGCTAGCACTGAGGAATCGGACGCCACACATACCTCTTGTATTCTTGGCGGACTCTGTTAATGGGGCCAGCAAGCACAAACAGTGGTGGCTTTAATATACTGTAGGTGATTGCTTGCTAATACTTTTTGTTTGTTTGTAACTTTAAGAGACTGCTGTGCAAATGCAGTTCTTCTACTCCTACCTTTCTTTTTCTTCCCCTTCACCCAATTGTGATACAGTATTGCTTTTTCTGGACTCACACTGACTTTAGAAACGAGATATTTTTTTTCAAACAGCAGACAAATGGGCGACATAAAATGAGTTTTCACTCTGATGCACTGTGGCTGCGAGGTTTTCAGGGATTCTTTGAGGACATCATTCATTTTTCATGTTTTTTTTCTATTCTTTTGGGGCACTTTCGCCTTTATTGGACAGATGAAAGTGTAGAAATGGGGAAGAGAGAGAGAGAGGGGTGTGACATATATTAAATGGCATGCGCTGTAACCACTGGGCTAGCAAGGCGCTCCATTTTCATGTTTTCTAATGTAAAAATCAGAATACCCATCATCCCAAAAATTAACTACAACTGTATTATAACCAAACAAGATACCCACTGTTTAAACAAGAGTCTATAGCGCTGCTAGCCGTTTACATCATCATGCTCACAATGACAATTCTAACATGGTGATGTTGGGCAAGTATGTTTACCATATTCACCCTCTTAGTTTTGTGTAACCTGCTTTGGACAGAGCAAGACTCACTGTCTCCCCAAGCTTCCAGTCTTTATGCTAAGCTAAGCTAATCGGCTGCTTGCTGCTTCATATATATTAACAAGAGTGGTATCATCTCATCTAACATTTCAACAAGAAAGTATAGAAAGCTTATCGCAAGCCAATCAGAGCACACTGGGCTTTTTCAGGAGGAGGGGCTTAAAGAGACAGGTGCTAAAACAGAGCTTTGTAGACAGAAGCTGACTACTAAGTATGTTCCGACAGACAGTATGAGAAAAATATTGCGTTTTTCAAACATTAAAGCATGTAAACATGTTCTAGTTGAAACCCAAAATACAAGTACGAACCTTAAAAGGAGCAGGATATGTCTCCTTTAAAGGATAGAAAATAAACTAAGGATATTGAAAGATGACCATGTTGTACAGCTGTCATGTTGCGCTCCCAACACACTGACACCTGTCTCGTCTGTGTTTCTATCCTGCCTCTAGATCATCGAATGGCTGTATGACAACATGAACGCCTTCGAATCCTTTGATCAGATCCAAGAGTTCATTCTAGGTCAGTGGCAGCTGAAGCGTATGGACGCAAGTCTCCCGAGTTTCCCTTCTTCCTTTTGGAGTCTAGCTGCTCTCTTGCCTTTTTATGTCTCCTTCTGCCTGTGGTTACCAGACTGCTTACATCCTGTCTACACAAAACTGACTTCTTTCATCAACTCTGTTTGCCTCTTAAAACTCTTTTCTCAAACTTTTGCCCGGCGTCCAACGCTGGTCTGATGAGTCTGAATTAGAGAGAGACTTGTAGCTTGTACAGAACCATGTGAAAAGAATATGGCTAAGTCCAAGTCAACACACAGCAACACATTTGAATGTCCCACAGTGTCTGTCTGGAAAAAAAAATAGAACAGAACACCCTATTCATTTAGTAGTTACGGACACACTCATCACCGAGAGAGGAGATGATCACATTAGATGTTGGGGCACCTTGCCGCATACATTTGCATAGTATTGCTGGAGCTACTTTGACTTGCTCTAAGATACAGAGTTCATATTAATACAGGTGTTGCTGCACAGCATACGAAGACCATTAAGTTGACCTCATAAATACAAGATGAGTAACCTGTGCTCACTAATATATCATAGTGATTGTGGTGGGACCCGAAAACAGGCCAACTGATGCAAGGGAGGGCATCAGTTGGCCTGAATAATATAATCAGTTTTAACAATATAGAAATAGACAGAAGTATGCCTACTGAATCCTGAAGAAGTCAGGACACAAGTCCACACTTCGTCATTTTAGCCCTGTATGATATTATTATGATATTCCTATAATATCTCAGTCGGGGCTTAGAACACATGTGGCAGAGTTAAGGGACATGCAGTGATCTTAGAATACTGTACCAGTTAAAGCACCACATTCTAGCATGTCATTTCTAGTATCACTTGATGGTTTTGCTCCATTGTTCTTTTATCTCTTGGCGTACACAACATGATCTTATCATTCATATCATATGAAAAGAAATATGTTCAAAATACATAGCTTCTCAACAGTGAATTTGGTATTTTCTCATATGAAATCAGTGTAATAGTATATGATAGCGACTGTGCGCCCCAACGCTGGATCACCACATTCAGCCCGGTGTTACTGGCTTTACGATGGAGTTTAGAAACAAAAGGTCACGCAAGGCAGTAATCCGCACGATAATCCACCAAACGACGACAACATCAATATCACTTGAGCACAAAGGAGAGCTCACGCCACGGATCTGAATTCATCAATAAACAAGATTTGACTCTGTCAACAAAGCTACCGTCCTCACTGTCAACAATTTGGCTACAGTGTGAACAACATCAGCAGTATTGCCGGCTTATCCCCTGCGCTAAAATTAGGAGAGCGGTTTCGCAGCCATAAATCCACCACAATAACTGTGGTTTCTGTGTTACTGTCACACACAAAGATGTCTTTTTTTTAACTTGGCTCTGTGTGTTTGTCAAAGATGCCTGGTTCAACAAAAAGGTAGAAAAGCGCAAACACGTTCTCTGAACCGTAGCACAGTATCCCTGCCGTGTACAGTGTTCTGCAATTTATGTAACCTACTCATGTGTGTCGAACTAGATTCACTACAAAATTAAGCATATTCGAAAACAAAGGTCAGAGGGCCTCTTCAAAGGGGTACCAGACAGACAACGCTGCAGGAACACCACAATGCCACCGGAATAGAACGGTACAACAGAACGGCACACGCAAAGCTCACTGCACCATATCAGATCTAATAGCATGCAGTGGGAGTTCTAATAAAACCCGCCATTGGGCGGGACCTTGGTTACAGGGCCTAGTTTGCCTTGTAGTTATTCTAAGATAATCTTTTCACTATCAATAATCCAAAGCTTCTTGGCCTTTTGGCTAAGTATAGAACTGCTTCCCAGCAGCCCACTGCTCTTAAATACTTAGGGTGGATTAAATGCAGAGATCAAATCTAATGCATACCTGTATGTGTATAACTATTGAAATAAAGTTTAGGATAAAAATTCTGCATAACTGTGATACATTAAATAAAAGTCTGACTGTACTCTCTCGCTCTCTCTCACTCTCTCACACACGCACACAGCCTCTTTGTACAGAATAAGCTATGAGAAGTCCCTCAGCCTGGACAAAGTCCTGCCTTACTCCTCTGTACTCGACAAGAAGGTACCACACTTACACACACACACACACACACACACACACACACACACACACACACTAACACAATTCAGCATGCATAAAGACATAAAAAAAATAAACCATACATGTGGATATGAATGCCAAATCAGGACACACTTGCAGTTCTATTTCTTCTTTTTTGCCTTGAGTAGTACACACACACACACACACACACACATGCTTAAGTCTGTCTTTGTGTGTTCTAGGAGATACTAGCGTGTCTGTTGGAGATCCCTGGTGTGTTGTGCACCACTGAGCTGCATATTGAACCTGTGTTCAAAGGCAAGGTAACGACATACATTTTTAAATGCATGTATTATATTAAAACTGCTCTTAAAGTTATTATGAAGCTTTGAGAGTCTGACTGTCGACTCTGTTTCCAGAACCAGTTAATAGAACTTGCCCTGCAGGTTGGTGATTAAATGGAGACAATTGTGTGCTTGTTACATCGCATGTTACGCATACGCTGGGTACACGTATGATGCAATGTTGGGAAATGACTGCAGCCGACTTCATTCAGACTTTCAAAAATACATTTATATGTAAAACAGTGTGATTTTATTATATCGTGTCTATTTGCGTGCAATTTTTCCTCAATTGCTTTGCAGCAATGACCTTGCTGTGTCACTGACGGTGTTGTTTGTGTGTGTGTGTGTGTGTGTGTGTGTGTGTGTGTGTCTCTGCAGGCCAGAAGTCTCCAGGGTTTCTGGTTAGAGCTGCAGTGGAACACAGAGAGGACAAAATATCTGGATGCTGTTCCCAACCCCAGATACAGAACCTCACACATACAAGCTGACTGGGAGAAACTGGTGAGTGTGTGTCTGTGTGCGTGCGTCAATAAAAACCTCTCATGCATACTAATGAACACAAAGTGAAACAGATTGACGGTGATTGTTTCAACATGCTTGTTGTTGTGAGGGATCAGAGAACGTGCGCGCGTTTCTCTCTGCATACCTGTGGGTCTTTGCTAAACAACGAGAGCATGTTGTCAGCCCTCCCATGATGGTGTTGCTTGTTTCAGAAGTCCGAGAGGAGACCATCCAGCCACAGGAATAACATGGAGGAGAACACTAAGAAGTAGGTCTGCCGTCCACCGGAGCTTCGTTAAGAAAAGCACATCACTCCAGATGCAGAGAGGAACGCATGACCGCCCCCTCTGCACGGTGTTTTGCTTCACTGTTTTCTCAAAATTGGGTTTGAAAAAAGTATTCAATTTGTGCACTTTAAAAACCAACAGTTGCTATAAAACTGCTCCACGGACTCTCCCAGGAGAGGTATAGAAAAACACACTGAGCTGTATCCATCCATTTATTATGGTCAGTTAACCCCATAATAAGATTGAAACCAACAATGCGTTACTCCGCTTCTCAATACATTCGGACTTCATCAGCCTCTGTGGCACTCGGCACACTGGTTCCTACTGAAGATTTAAATCTTTTAAACGTGGGTTTCATTTCAAACAGATGGGCACTGTAGTTTTTAGCTAATCTTACTCATACAGGAGGAGATTTGTTGCGGACCATTTTACAGCTGTGGATTAATACACAATTGGTGCTCTAAAGAGTAGTTATAGCAGCAGGGCGGTGTATGTGGGATTTATTTAAAATAAACTACAGTGGCCATGTTCCTCATAATGAAGGAACATGCCCCTCAGGGTTTGTTTTTGTAGTTTTTTTTGACAACAGTGAAGCTCTACGGCACAGAGGAATAAGAAACATCAAGCTATGTCTACACAGACACTACGTGTTAGTAGAATCAATTCATTATTGGTTTTGGGCTTTTCATGGGGTTTTGTTTTTTTCAATAACAAAAATACTGAATATCAACAGCATTACCCTTTAACTATGCTTAAATTATGAGGTGGTGTCCCAGCTCAGTGAAGTTCGGAAGCATAATCAATCAGTTGAAGAATAAAACACAATAAAGATGTGAAATGAGTTTAAAAGCACTTTTGGCTTTTTACATTAGTAAAACTCCCTAACTTCCCGAAAAAAGAATGATTAGATTATTTGATGCATCCTGTCTGGACCCAAAATATGATGAATTCTCCAATTTGAATGCCCCTTTGGCAGCCTTAATAGATGTGCTTTTCCTCGTAAGGCAGAGTGAATTTAAATGTGCAGGAGTTCAGTTTCCATAACCCGAGTCAGTGTAAAACCACTGACTACAGAGAAGAAAAATGTCTGTTCTCTGTCTGCTCACAATGTAAATGTCCCAGCGTAATTACGTGGGCTCTTACTTCTGCTGCGGATGCTTTGCTCTCTTTGAAATAGACTGTCTTTTACCACTTTCACTTCTGATTGTAATTCTCTGCACAAACTCCTAAAACTAACCCAGTGCTCTGTCGTATTATTCACAGGAATGACCTGTGTAAACCCTGTTTACTGGTTACTCTTTGACTGTGATCCATCCCCTTTCATTTGAAATACCTTAGAAATGAGAGTGCAACTGGAGCCCCCCCAACCGTTTAAGATCAAGTGACTTGATGATGTATGTACCTGTATGCACCACTGATGTAATACCTGCCTTCAACTAGATATAACTCTGTCCAGTTTGTAAATTAGGGATCAAACCAAAATCCTTTTTGGTTCATAATTAGCTTTTCTTCCTCCAGGCCAAACTCCAGCACCTGCAGACATACTTTGTGCTTTTATAGTTTTGATATATTTTTTCACTGCAGACTGCAGCAGTGAAGCATGATAGGTCCCCGGCTTACAGCGAGAAAAGTAAGACTCTTATTATAATGCTAGCTTGAGGGATTGTTTTCACACAAAGCTTCTCTTCTTATTTTCTAGAGTTCTATCAATGGTGGACACCTGGTTTCTTGGTAAGACGGCATGAACACACACATGCACTCACAAACATAAATCTATAGATGCAACACACACATACAGGCACACAGACACACACACACACACACACACACACACACACACACACAATGCAGGGAGTGTGAATGTCGTAAACAACAACAAAACCTTGGCTTATAATGGAGCTCAAAACTGTGTGCGAGTGTGTTTGGGTTTGTGTGTTCTTCTGAGGTCGCATTATTCATGCCCCCTGGAGAATTCAACTAAACAGAACCACCACACTAATTTATCTTGGAGGTTGAGAGGAAGAAAGGGAGTAGTGGGAGAGGTGAGAGGGTGAAAGGGAATTTTAAAAGAGGAGAATTGAAGAATGCTACGACTATATAACGGTGGGGATTTAGTTACCTCCTTCACCTCTCTCCCTTCTTCTCTTTCTGTCTGTCTCTTGTCTCTCATGACTCCAGTGCAGATATTTTGTGTCAACCACAACACGGGACCTTCCCTCACCTCAGTTAATTCACGCGGATGATCTCATACACCCAGAGCCTCCCACAGATTCACTTGTAAAACACACTCTCTTCATCACTTTTGCACAGATGATAGCACTCATGCAAGAAACTGCCACACTGATTCCCAACAGTTTATCAATCTGCTTCCATGCTGAGGCCTTTTTGATCATTCAAATTTTCTCATTCTGCTGTTAACAATTACTACAAAGTCCTGGCTCACCGGAAAGTCCTATAGACACGTTACGTTATATTTACATCACAAATAAAGTGAGTGCAAAGTCTCGAGAATGAAACATTGTAAATATAGTGTGTACGAGTCTGGGGATCACCAAAGTTATTGCTATTCATCTCGGGGGGAACATGATCGTCTGTTCCAGATTTCATGGGAACCCATCCAATTGTCGTGGAAACATTTTGCGCAAAACTAAAAATGTCAACCTCATGTTGGCACTAAAGGAGAAGTCATGGGATCGTCAAAGTCAGACATAAATCGCCCGGGAACCACCAATGTCTGTGCCAAATGTTGTACCAATCTGTCCAGTACATGTTGAGATATTTCACAGTGAAAATCTCTACCTCCTGGTGGCGCTCGATGAAAAATCAGAGGATCAGAGTCATTAGGATTCATCCTCTGAGCCCCATAGATATCTGCACCAAATTTCACAGCAATGTATCCCAAAGTTGTTGATATTTCAGGACCAAAGTGGTGGACTGACAGCCCTAGAGCCATGCTGCATGGCTAGAAATGCCAGTCACAATGTCCAAAAGCCCAAAGTGACAACTTCCAATGGCTAGGATTTGTTCGACCAAGCAAGCAAAACCAAAGAGATCCCATTGACAAGAATATAAAGTCGAGAGAATCAGCACATTCTCATAATTGAATTGCTTGAACAAGCATATAGTTGAGCACTTTTACTTGATAAATGACTTAGAAAAATACAAACAATTTTGATAGTGTTTTATTTTAAACTAATAATTCATTATTCTACAATGCTTCAAGTTTGATGAATGAGACCGTCTCGTAACGGAGAGGTCACATGGTCAAAGTGTGTGTGTGTGTGTGTGTCCATTGGCGTGAAAAGCTCAGAAAAAGAACATCAGCCAATTGTAAAAGATATTTAAATTCAAAACAGTTTGAACGTCTAACAGGCATACAGCAAATCTGGCCTGTCGGCTAGCTGTGCCCTGCAAGTGCTATTATAAATCTGTAACATATTACACTGTAACATCAAAACGCCAGCTTCTTGCATGTGTGTGAAAGTGATCAAAAGGTGGGTTGTGTTTGTGTATGCAAGTGTGCAATAATTCATCTAAAGTGACCCAGCTAGATGGTCCACTTTAATATGGCTGATATACAACAACAAAAAATATACACACACACACATAGGACACAGCAGGATTGCAGCCATAACCCCCCTAGGCCTTGGGATGTATTTTTAAAGCGAAAAGTCATCCAAAAGAGTCCATTAATGTCCTCTTTCTTTGTTCAGGCCATAACAAGTCAGAGTTTGGGTTCATCCATTCCTACGGATGGCCTTTTTTAATAACGCTACTGCACTGACACACTTGAGGCTACCTGTAGTATTCAGTCTAGCGCGGATGCAGCATCAAAGGTTTCTTCAAACGTCTCTTTTATGTGCAAGTTCCCACGATTGCCTCGTGTCTCTCTCCTCTAGATAAGAAGCTGGTGCCACTTTTCCAGGAGGAGGACCATCAACAGAGGGCGCTCATAGGCCTGGTGAGAGACAGAGAAGCTGAAACCTTTCAGTGGCTACAACACACTACCACACACACACACTGTTAAAAGTAGCTTTAATCGTGGCTTGGGCTAGACGCTTAGTTTCTATAAAGGGAAAATCATAATGCAACGTATACTTCCACATTTCTTTTTCTAATGTGACAGTGACCTTATGCACAAAGGCAGGTGGATAAAGAAATGTATTTCTTTATCTTGAGTGTGGAGAGCTTGACTGGCCTGACCTGACCTCAGCCCCATCCAGATCTTTGATGAATTGGGAAACTGGCTCTGAGCCAGGAAGTATGTCGCGTTAATCGACGGAACACCAACTTAAGACAATTGTGTGACTACAGAGACTTGGTAGTATGAGGGTTAAAAATACAGTGAGTTGACAAGGTAGCACTAAATTAATTGAATTTGGGTTCAATTACCCCCGAATGACGATCTTTTGGCAGATATGAGGCATCCATGTTTGATTAGCTTTCAGGCTTTTTCTCTATTATTAAGCGCAAGGCGGATGTATCTTTCAGAAAGACGTGGTCCCAGTATACTATACACAATCAGCTCTGCATTCACATGCCGTAACGTAGCACCAGAATCCTCTGGTTTAAAGTAAGAAAGCCATTCAAAAGATTTCAGAAAGGTTTTTAGCTGTAACTTGCACGTTTTATGAAAAGCATCGCTTGTGAAATGCTGCCAAATGAATAATTCAGTAAAAGGACCAGTCATTCTGTCAGTCATGACAAAACAATCAGATATTTCAAAAGCAGGAAGTCCTTAAACCTTCCAAAAAAATAAAGACTGTAGTTCACATCCTACCACTCAAAATCAAAAAGGCAGTAGCAGAATAGAAAATAATGAAACACTCATTGTTGCTTTTGAGATACCACGCTGACTTTGAGGTCCTTTTAAAAAAGAAATTTGAATAATTGCACACCGTGTGTCTTTTTCCTCTCCACTGATACTCACTGTAGTAGACGAGGCAAAGTCAAACAAAAAGTGTCTGCATCGTAAAGTGCTTCATTGTTAATTTCCTCCGTAGATGCATTGAGCATCCCATATTGTTGACACACAACAGTTTACCAGCCCCTGGAGGTGGGTTCTCCCTCTAACATGTGTTGATATATAGACCACTAAAGATCTGCAGTGAAATGCTGACAGCCGACTCTTTCCCGCCATAGCCATCTTTTAAGGTGAAACTCCTTTTACTCCTTCAGATGAGTCAACACTTTAAAAAAAAGGGGCATCTTAAGGTTCCTGTCCTGCCTTTTTTTTTTTTTTACTGTACACTGTTTGATGGACATTTTCATATCCTCTACTTTTCCCTGTGCTCAGCATAGTTTTTAAAGAGCAGATAACTTCAATTTAATGGAGTTCAGGCGAGATGCTAGCAGTCTCTCAGCTATTCTTAGAATGACCCAGTCCTCCTGCCTTTCTCTCTTTATTCCCTCCTTCACTTCGTCCATCATTCTTTTACCCCTTCCTCTCTTTCCTCTTCGTTCCTGTCACTCCTTTCTCTTTACCTCTCTCCTTCTGTCTCCTCCTCATTCCCTCTTCCCTCTTATCAGGTCATTCTGTCAACTGTTTTTAGACTCATCTTCTGTACTTCTTCCACCTCTCACATCCACAGGTCTCCTCTCTTCCCTCCTTTCCTCTTCTCTCCGTGGTTAAATCAATTTTGGGACACTGTAGTCGCGGGGAAAGTCGAGCTGAACTCAATTTGACCCTGCTGAGTGCACAGCAAAGTATACTTAAAACACACAAACACAACATTTACTCCAGGCTGCATACACGTACACACACACCGAAAATAATCAGTGTGTTTTTTTTACATTGCAGACGGTTGACAAGCTCCGAGAGCATCTCAACAGACACCTGCCTCGTATGGGGAAGAAGAAGATTGACTCGCTGGTTGTCAACTATGTCGCCAAACTGGTTGGTACACCGCGTTTGTGTGTGTGTGTGTGTGTGTGTTGGACAGATAGAGAGAGGTTCAGGACCAGCGTACATACTCCCGTGAACCTTCTTTTATTTAAAAGGCACATCGTTCTTCGAGTTATGTTTATTTAATGCTTGCCCTTACCCTTTTTCTGCAAGGTTAAGTGCTCTTCACAGCGAGGACCGCTCAGTGGAAGAGGCAGCGAGTTCTCCACTTTAGTTAAATGCTCTGACAGATGGACGTGTGCTCTTCAGATTAGAGAGGGTTGCTGGAAGCCATCAGGTAGCCGCTTCAGTCCTCTAAAACAAACACTTCTACGGTTAAGACATGTATCCTCAACCACTCAGGGACTTTTTGTGGGGGGTGGGGGAGAACAATGTGTATCCCAAATATATATAGATATGAATATCACTACGCCCCTTTGTATCCACCCAAAGAGCAGCAGGTGGAATGTGCATAACCGAGCGGAAAGACGTTACCACTCTCCGTCTCAGTACCCTATATAGAGGTACTTGGTTCTGTAAAGTCAGTCTTTAGTATTCCTGGGAGGTAAATCCGTTCACAGCTAGGAGCTGCTGAAAGCAGACAAAGAGCATATATCAACAGTATTAAATCAGGCCAAGGGTAAGGCTGGAATTGAATAGAAAGCAGGAAGCACCACGTTTCGGGACTTTATGGAATTGCAAATGACAGAGTAACAAAGACAAAACAAATCCTGCCTGCTCTCAGCTGGATAGGTCGGTGGCTCAGCTCCGTACGACAGGCTTATGAGTTTTTACCTGCGCCTTCAAACTCCGAATGAAAGTAATAGAAGAAGGCACGTCTGGAATCGTTTTTGGCATCGCCCTGCGTCCCTACGTTATTGTTGAATAAATTCAACAATAACGTGGTTATTGTTGAATTTATTCAAGGGAGTGAAAATGAAAAAAGTCTCTCATCCGGGGAGCGGGGTTTATTAAAACACGCACACTCAAAAGGACCCATAAGGAGCCTCCTTCAGGGACGTTTTAGCTCAAGAACAGTCGAGTAACTCAACGACAGGGTGATGTGCTTACACATCAAGCTGACTCATGCTTTAAAAACTCAGAGAGGTGCATTTTCAAAAGAGGGCTGACTTCCCCTCCACAAATAAAGAACATCTACCCCTCATGTCGGTGCTTATTGAGACTAATGGCTGCGTTGACACAGGGGAGAAGTTTGGGTTGAAATAGATTACAGCTTTTAAGAGCAAGAGAACTTCTGTTATGATAGATTACAGCTCCGCAGCACATTATTGTCATTGTTATTTATTTCCTCTCCCTGTTGCTACAGACAACTGAGATACATTCCTTTTTATAACAAAGCCAACGTCAGACCCGCTAATAGCTGAATGTGAATGACTAGTTAAAAATACATAATAAAAGCAATGGAATTAATTGAAATAGACTGAAATATTCACAACTATGCAGAAAAAGTTATTCTATACCCAGGGTTGTTCAACTTTTCCTCAGCAGGGGAGCCACACTGAGTAAATCCCGTCTCTTTGCTGGGCCGATGCTCGTTAAGACAAATCGCTGATTCGAGATTTTATTCGCATAGAAAGTCACACTGGGGATAGCGTGTATGAGTCTGTGGCTTTAAATCACTTGTTTGGCTTTTTTGTTTTCAGCACAAAAACATCTCCGCTACACATTTGTATCCCTTTTAATGCAGCAACGAGCGCATGAGATGTTAGTTGAAGAGGAAAGAAATTACCAATGAATTAATTGATTTTAACAATGAATATCTGATAACGCAAATTGTATACTGTGAACCAAATTGCTTGCCAATTAAGAGCAGTTTTTGATGTTTAAAGTGTCACTTTCTTCATCTGTATTGATGGAGAAAATTCCTCTGTGGTTATTTATTTGGGAATCCATTCCCTAACTTGTGTGCAGACAACATGAAAAATGTTGCATAGCAAATGTGCTAATTAGACACAGAAAACTGTGCAGGAGACGTTAAAAAACAACAGGGAAGCTGATTATTATGTTCGGCTCTTAATTTTGGGCATGTTCGTTACATAAGCGAAGCTAATTGAATTTCCTTGAGGTCAGTGCAGGACATTGGTGGAGGGTTTCCTACTGGTGTGCAGGATGTGAGTGAGGCAGCTCGTCTTCCTGTTATTCGACAGGCGATGAGAGAGAGGGTCATTCGTGGAAAGAATGAGTGCGTAATGTGCGTGTGCTCCAGCACGCAGCGGGCATGTTTCAGATGAGTCAAGTGTGTTCAGATGAATCCTGCATGCTGAAAGATGTGTTGTAAAATGACGTGTTCACATCCGGAACCACTGCTCTCTTTTTCAGTGGAAATGAATATGGGAAGTAGGAAAAAGAAAAAGAGGGAAGCGAGGAAACTGATCATCTAACAAGTGTTCATTTCCTCAAAGAAAACAACGTCGTGGCAGAAAAATGTCTCGTTTCATTGGAATCTAACTGAGCATCTCCTTCCCGAAGCACTAACGTGTGTGTGTCTCTGTGTGTGTGCTTAGCTGGAGCTCATCAGACATATGCTGGAGTCAGTCTGGCTGAAGTACAAACTCGGCCCTCATGTTTTGTGCCTGTGAGTACTCCTCCCTCGTCAGTGTGGGTCTCCTTTAAAGTTTCTGATTAATGTATTGTAAAGTATAAAGCACTTAGAGTGTGTGTGTGTGTGTGTGTGTGTATTCATCTTCACCCATGTGTGCTCCAGACCCTCCATCACTCCCCGCTGTGTGTGTCCACATGAGCAAACTGTCGATTACCCCTCTTCACGTGTGCGCTCACATTACATAACATTCCAGTCCATACAGTGTACAGTGTGTGTGTGTGTGTGTGTATATGTTGTCCAGCACTCAGCGGGGCAGTCCAGCCGAGTGGTCGGTGTTTCACTTCATGTTTCGGATCCTGGAAGCCACGAGGGGTCTCTGCCTGCCCCTTCCTCCAGGTACCATCCACACACACACACACACACACACACACACACACACACACACTTTTAGTTGTTTTAATCCAGTCCTTCTCTGTCTCACCCAGAATAACAATGTGTGTTTGCACTGAGGGACAACAGACCCGCTCTCTTCAGCAGTAATGTAACCAAAAATATGTTAAACATTAGCATAGCGCAGACATGGGCAGAGCAGAGTGTGAATACATTTTCAATAATTTGAATTCATTTTCCAGTGTTTGCCATATAAATCCCACTTTTACACACTTGATTTTAGTTGCTTGTGAGGAGAACTTTGCAGGTAAAAATCCTTGTTTGGCAACAGGAGGAAAAGACAAATGCCCTGAAGCAAGGCAGCACACCCTTGACACTGAGGCTGCAGGTGTAAATGTGTGTAAATTGGGTGTGAAGCTGTAAAACAGCAGGCAAACTGAGTCTGTGTCCCTTTTGATGAATACAAGTTGAGAAAAAAAACAACCCAATTACTTGGCCATGCTAACGGCACAGCTCTTTGTCCAATACCTAAACGTCTTCTTCAGCATTGTCAACGTGAACATGTTGCTGGATGCTGACGATAGCATGAAGCTCAAAGCACGGCTGTGTCTAAATACGGCCTCACAGAGCCGCTAGCATGGCTGAAGACTCTTAGTGTTGTTTTACTGTTTCGCCTCCTTTGTTGTTTTCAGGAACATCAAAAGTTTCTCCCTCGTCTTTCTCTTCATCTGCCCCACTGTTCTCTCTCCGTCTCTCTCTCCAGGCTATCACACCCTGTTAGCGGTGTTTGCTGTGCGTTGCCTCCCTCATCACACCTTCCTACAGTACATTGATCACGGCTTCCTGCAGCTCACTGAGACCTTTGTGTCTCGGCTCATGACAGGTACACACACACACACGCACACACACACACAGTAAGTTTTAAAAAGAAAATTCAATCATGTCATCATCCCCCTCTTCAGTCCAAACTGAAATATCTATTGGATGGATTGCTATAAAATTGTGTACAGACTTTCATGTTCCTCTCAGGATGAATTGTCTTGCACCAATTTGTCCAATAAAAAACAAAACAAACGACAACATAAAAAAACTAAATCAAATAATCATTGTTTAATTGTTTTATGACATGCTGTAATAATGAAAATATATAAGCTTGCAAATCAATATAGTAAAAGATATGATAACAAACGACAGGAGAATAACACAAAAACATTGTTGTACTTAAGTTGATAAATGCAGAGCGGATTGCACGTTAAATCAGAAGGCTGTATTCAGTATTTCCAAACCTATCATCGTTTTACTATCAATGTCTACAGAACCACATTAGTTTGACGAAGTTTAAAACGTGACATCATTCATAATGCAGAAACTATATTAGAGGTTGTCGTTGGGGAGCATGAGGCTCGTTCTCTTTGTGCTGCTTTCTCTTCTGTAATGAAGAGAAGGCAAATAAATACAGGAAATGGATTCAGACAGGGATGTAAAAAGTAAAAACATTCCACAAACGTCAGCATCTTACTAAAATGAAGGAGTTTGTCTGATGCCGAGAAAAGTGCAGCCACATACTAATTAAAAGCTGAGTAACTCTTGGCTGGTTCTTGTCGTCGGGCTTTTGGGTTTGTTTGACCCCTTTAACGAGTAGCAGGTAGAAGGAGAACACGATTAGATGACTGAGAACTATAAAAACAGATGTAGAATGCTTCAAGCTCCGGCATGATTCGCTGACTCTTGCAGAAACAAGGGCCAGTCCGCTCGCCCTCGATTTTCACTTCTATTAGTAAAAACACAGCTGGACGAGCCAACAGTTCTCCAGGCATATCCACGCAGTGAACAGTAAAATTCCGGCTCAGCCTGGCCCACTTCTTGGGGTGAAGAACCTGGGAAACGACATGGACATTTTTTTAGTTTGATTTTGCATTTGCATGTAGAAGTGGAACGGAAAGAAAAAGTTGTGCATCATCAGCAAACTAAGAATTGTTCCAGCTTTGAGCTGTAAATTAGAGGTCTGCTGGAATTTGCAGCGTCCAAGGTTTGTTGGGATGAGGTTGAGGTAGACTGTGTTCCTTCAAATACAGGACCAAATTAACTTTCAAATAGTATCTCTTAGATTAAATTATTTATTCATTCTTTTTTTAAACTTCTCAGCATTCAGCAATATTTTCAGCATTCCCACAGTCACACAGGTGGCTGATACTACGCTGCACCTGTTATGAGTTACTGTGAATTACCCCAGAAACCCCCAAAACCCACAGAATAATTAGTGGGACGAACAGATGCGAACGGGTCTAATATGAACACCACATAATGCCAGAATTATGATAAGTTATTAAAACGCAATTACTTATTTGTTGCATTTCATCTTTAATTTTCATTTAATTTTACCTGAATTTTTTCTTGCAGTTTATTTTTCATTTTGGAACATCTGTTATAGAACCAGCTAGCTAGCTATTTGGTAGCATGTGTAGCCTCATTAAGTTTAAGAATGATTAAGAATTGAATTCATTAATTCAGAATTATTTGTTATTGTGCTGAGGTGAGGGCCAGGAAACATCTCCACTGTCATGGAAAGGGACATTATGAAAAAAAGAAAAAAAAAACCTGAATATATTTTGTATAATAATGAGGTCACGTTTTTTTAGTTTTTATTTTAAACTGTCTTATTTATTCATTTAATGAATGCTTCCCCCGTGCATGCAGAGATACAATATGGCGCTGAACCTCACATCACAGAGCTGTGAGCAGCTGTAGAGCATGTTGGCGGCTGACTTCACTGGTTATTATTATGTGTGAACTCATGAAATAGGCAAGACACGTCTTCTTTTCTTTGTCTACCTTTGTCATCGTTTGTGCGGAGAGGTCAGCGGTTCGGGTTAGCTACCATGGGGATTCAGTGCCGTGCTCAAAAACATTGATCTGTCTCAGTGTGTATTGTTTCAAGGCTAAACTTCGGCACTGAGCTCAACGGAACCAAAATATCCTCGTCGCTCTTGATCTTGTCGTGGTTTACATTTCTCATGAAGAGAACAAACAAAGATGAAAAGACTATTCAAAGGAGCCGGTCCAAATGGTTTTAGACTTCAAAGTGAGAGAAAAGAATGTTTCAGGACTTTGAAGTGAGAGGGTTCATGCATCACTTCTCTCAAGGAATTGATCAAATAAGTATATATTTATTTAGATTTCTACTAGTTTATCCTGGACAGTTGGCCGGGCAGGTGTGCTCTTTCTGCCTCATTACAAACACACACAAACCGTCTCATCTAGAATTTCCCACTCGAACTCTAAGATGATCAAAGTCATTAAGATTCATCCTCTTGGGAATATGAATGTCTGTACAAAACTTTATGATAATCCATCCAGAAGTTGTTGAGATAGTTCAGTCTGGACCAAAGTGGTGTACTGACCAACTGAAAGACATCGCCATCCCGAGACTAATAAGCTCTGCTGGTGGAGGAATTCAGGTCATTCTAACCCAAAAAGATAATCAGGTGCAGCAGCTGCAGTAATGGTGCCAATGTGTTGGACTGTATTGGTGCAGAAAGCTTAAGAAAGAAGATGAATAATCCGGCTAGAACTCTGAATTTATCATCTGCTCGCCTTGAGAAGTCAGTTTTTTTTTTCTGGTTCTTATAACATCCTGGATGACTTACACCTCCTCCAGAATGCTTCTCAGCACTGAGGAGCTATCCAGGAGCTGCCAAAGCAGGTTGCTGGGTCAAAGGATGTCAGAGGCTCTCTGCTCTTTTAGAATGGATGGATCTCACTGCGACACAAAAAAATACATTCTGTGAAAAGTCTTAAAGTGTTGCTGGGGGGATCATTTGTGAAGCCTTGATTGCCAAAACATTTTCTGTTTTCTATAAATGGAAATTTCCCTCTAATTCTTTTTTATCCGTGGAAATCAGCATGGGAAAAAGGTTTATAGTAGTTATAGCAATCTTGGATTTTGTTGATTTTATTTGCATTTATTTTACATGAATTGTCTCCAGATAAAGAACATTTGTCTTCAGAAGAGTAATTGGCACCATGTCTCCTCTTTTCACCTCTGTCTTTGTGTTTAGATTTGGACAACAGTGATGCCAACGAGAGACTGAAGTTCAGCATACTCAAGAGACTCCCTGAGGTACTTCAGTGTGTGTGTGTGTGTGTGTGTGTGTGTGTGTGTGTGTCAGTGTGTGTTTTCACCCATGAGGTTTTTATGCAGGGCCAGGAATAGTTTAGAGGAGTCTGCCATCCAAATGATAATATGTTGAGCATACGAACTCGGAGGACAGGGCTGAGAGAGGTAGCAGTTCGTGGCCGGTGTGAATGTCTTAGCCAGAACAATGCACGAGGCTATTGCAATCCCATCTATTAGTGAGGGGGACAGTTTTGATCTTTTCTCTAATGGTTCTCTCCCCAAACTTCCCATTCCGGTCCAATTAAGAGTTTGAAGTTATTTTGGGTCTCATCTCCCTCAAGCCCCCCTCAAGCCAATCACAAAGCCCATGTGTAACCGGCTGCTGTGTGTGTGTATGCGTGTGTGTGTGTTGAGGATGGGTAGTGTAGGCAGTTAGTACTGAGTCTGTGGTCCCTAAAACTTGTGTAACTGCTTTGGGTTCCCGTGTGGACAGAGTATTATTCCTCTGTAGTTGTGTGTGTGTGTGTGTGTGGGTGTGTTCCGTCCGCATTGTGGTCAGAGGAATGTCGAGTGTTTAGTGTCTCTGTTCTGTTTCCTGCCCATCAGACTTTTGTTGGGTGAGTTTGGCAGGCAGGAGAGATTTAGCAGGTACAACACACACACACACACACACACACACACCGCGAGAACACAGGAGACGCTAGCAAACTGTAGGAAATGTATATCTCTTGGCTAAAACCAGCACCCACATCCCTCTTATGATATACATCTTCAAAGCCCATGGAATGCCGGTAAACCTCATATTGTACTTCACACTTCTGCAGTAACAAATAAACAAGAGATACACCAGCTGCTCGCAAGTTCAGACTCTAGCCTTGTGTGTTGATATCAAGGTATTTGTCTTCAAATATTTCACAATGTTTAGGTTTGCCAATCCCATCTCATCTATGTCATTGTCAGTCACACCTGTAGTCTCTTATTTGCTTGAGTGTTATTTATTACTGTTGCGTGCATTGCTCAACACCGGAAATGATGAGTTCTCTGGAATGCCTCATTAGCAGTCAACTCCTCAATACTGGCGTTGAGTTCCAAGCGGCAAAATAGAAGGGGACAGATGTTCACTTGCCCCAGGGATTATTTTTTCTCATGACAACATGAGCTACATGTCTAAAATGTAAACTCTTTTGTGTGTGTGTGTGTGTGTGTGTGTGTTTGTAGCCTATGGAGCAGAGGATCTACCATATGTGGGACCATCCTGTCAGCTCAGCTTCGATCTCCAGAGATTATGCCAGGACGCTGCTCGAGAAACACAACAACAAGGTAACACAGCACAGTGTGTCACACATGCCGCAGAGAGTGACGCACACACTAAAAGCACCGAAGACTAGCAGACACAACATTTGCTCATTAGCAATAAACACAAAGTACAGCCGAGGCTTGTGGAAATGTCTCTAGTTGTGCAGGTATTTGATCATAAATCACAGTATTGGATTAGCTAACAAACGCTGGATCCAGCTCCTCAAATGTGAGGCTGTTGTGTTTTTCTCTGTTTCACATCTTTGTTTGGGTATTGGACTGTTGGTCGGACAAGACAAGCTTTCTGAAGTAATCCCCTTGGGCTCTGGAAACGTTGTGATGAGCTATTATCACAAGTTTCTGACAAGGAATCCTTGCTGCCCTAAAAATGTTAACTTCAGAAAAAAGCGTTTATTTCTGCAGTGTTACAGAAAAAAAAAAAAAAAGTCCTCTTTGGCATTCTTCATCAAACGTGTTTAAACAGTGACCCCAGCTGTACAGCTAACATCATCCATCCACTTCATGATGCTATTGGCTGGTTTCAGTCAGCTAATCGGCCAGCGGAGCCAGTGGCATTTCGTGCAATGACATGATATGAATTTATGGCTGCCAACTTCATTCAGAAGAGGAAACGAGTGAGTTAAGGTGACTAGTTTGGGGATTTGCTGCAGATTTCTCTCGACTGTGTGCATCCTTGAAAACTGCAGAGCCCACAGTTGTGTTTTTTTGTCTTCCTCCTCCTCAGGGATGTGCGTTCACCAGCAGAGACAAGCCAGGCTTCAGACCTGAGTTTCTGCCCCTTACCTACTTGGCAAAAATACTCTCCGATATCGAGGCGCAAGGTAGTGTATGTGCGAGTGCGGGTGTGCATCCTGCCTGGTTTAGATACCTTTGGACGCCTTTGGAGGATTAAGACAGAATGTGTGCGTTTATGTGCGTGCTTTGGAAGGAAGGAAGCGTTGCATCCTGTGTACAAGAAGCTAAATCTCTCTCTAACTCCTCCTTCCTGTGTTGCAGCTCTGAACCCTTTCGAGGAGCAGGAGAACGTGGACGCCAAGTTCGTGGAGGAGACGGCTCTGAAGCAGACACTAATACTGCTGGGCTTTGAAGAAAATTGAAGCATGAGAGGGTCCGGGGATGGGTGGATGGATTGAGGGAGAAACACATGGGGGGGGGGGAATGTGTTCCAGGGAACAGTCATCATTGTCTGGGCCTCGAGGATAAATAACGGGTGGAGGGCGGGAAGCGAAAGATGAATGGAGAGATCGAAAAGGCTGAGCGCTCATAAACAAGCTCTCAGTGCTTGATGAAAGATTAGGACGGGACGGAGGGGTAGATGGATGGAGACGCCCCAGAGAAGGAAAGATGGGGAGGGGAGAATATGAGGCAGATTGGAAGAAATAGTCACCATGTTTTTCCCCCCACAAACATTGAGGTGTGCAAAGGGACAATATGTAACAGTACCAAACATTATAACACAATAGGATCTTCAGTTAGTGGTTTAATATGTATTGGAAATCAATGACTGCAGGCAGCTATTTACATGAACTGTAGCAGCAACAATTCTCTCCACAACTTCCCCATTTTCTCTCAAACAATTTATGAACACCGATGTCAACTTCTGCAAACGGTATTTATAAATCAAACACTTGTTTTATCCTCCTGCGCTCTCCGTAATGCCGCTGCACCCCATCAACTTGATTACGTGCTGACAAAAGCTTTATGGACGGAGTAGCTTGATATGGCCAGTCAGTGGCTGCTGTACACTCAATATGACATTAACTCTGAGTTGTGCGCAATCTTTGCTGCTGAAAAAGGGGGGCTTAGTATAACTTAGCGAGGCGACCCGGCGGATTTAAAATGACAGCCCCAAGCAGGTATTTAGGTGTTGTAAACTGAATGTAGGAATTAGCATGCTCTTCATAGGAAATACACGGTGACTTTACACCAAAGCCGTGGATTTTGAGACAACTGAATCAGGAGCATGTCCGAAATATGTAGAGAATTCACTGATACTGGCTTTCGTATGGACAATAAGGACCGGGCATCATTTAAAATGTTTTCATACTGGCGATGGTAAGATACCTATGTTTCTGATTTCTTTATTTTTGTGAAATATAGATATGTTTTTCGATAAAACCCTCAGCAAAATTCTTCGAATGTTAAACATTGTCACTAAAAGAGTCTATAGTTGTCTAAATGTTGACTTAAAGTCAGACGAAAATAACACATTCTTAATACAAATGAAAAGTTGAATTCTGCTGACATGGTCTTGTGTGAGCTTTAGCTTATGAAGGACGATTAGTTTTCGATACTCTGCTACATTTGGTACTAAAAAAGTATAGTTACCCAGCAGACATCAATAACTTTATAGTAACTTTATTTATAGAGCCCATTGTATAATCAGCCTACAAAATGCCTTTCAAGTAGAACAAGACAGTACATGCATTAAGAATTAAGAAGTTTGTCCACACACACTCTCAAACATCTGGTTTTAATAAGGTGCCTGTGTCGTCATGATTGAGCTCTTACAGTAAATGGTGAAATCCTTCCGTAGTGGTGGTGGTGGTGCGTGTGTGTGGCATGTGTTCATAATCCTTTTTATAGTGTCTGAATGTTGGCATCTGAGACTAAATGCCAGAGATTATTTACATGTTGTGCTTTCATTTGAGGAATTACATTCCCTTGGAAAAAAAAAGACTTCAGAATCACCGTGTCTTATGTTTACACAAAAGAAGTTTGTAAAATGGATTGTAAATAAAGAGGTTTTTTTTTCAAATTGGAGTGTATTTGTCTTGAATTACTGTGATACTTTTAAAGAAAATGGTGTACAGGTAAGCTTTGTGGCCACAGTTAGGCCTTGGCTTTCTTTGCTAGCACTGAGTTTCCTTTGAACCCTGGCAAACCGAGTTCCAGTGACATTGTTGCGTTTGGGATTAATTAAGAAATGATCTCAACTCGCAGGCTTGAGAGGCTCTGCGCGGTAGGCAATAAACTCTTGGATTCTCAAGAATATGGAAGTGTTTTAGACAGACGCAGGAAATAATCTCAGTCTTCATACATGCTGCGTCACGTTCAGGGAAGAACACACCCATCACGCATTTATACAGGCTTGTTTTGCAATACCATTAGTGCCAAACTACACAGTCTTTTCTTGTTTACCACCCATCTCAAATCATCTCTTCTGGGGAACTTCCTCTTTTAAATGTTTTAAATCCCTTATTTCCCCTCTTTATTGCCTCCTCCAGACTCTGTTATGCAGTCGGTGTTATGTAGCCGGCTAATAAGCACAAACAGTTAGAGGCTACCTTAATCTGACAGCTCTCAGCCTGCAGTGGATGATCACGCACACACTCACACAGACACACATCATTATGATTTATATTCGTCCACATTGGTTGGGCGACACACAGTAATGGCCTTCACATGAACTTGGTTCACAAACACAAAGTGTGCTTACAAGCTGCTTAATGCGCACATCGACACCAAGACGACTCTCCCCTCAAGCCAAGATCAGCAGATAGAACGACTTCCAGTACATTTGTAGAACTTTCAAAAGGCAAATGACTTTGTTTTTGGTCACCAGTAACCATCTCTGAACTCCTCACCCCATTTAGAGCTCCACTTTTATCCAGTTTCTTTTTTCCACCGATTGCCATCTCTCGTTCCCCTTCATTTAAATTCTCCTCTCTCTTTGTCATTCACTATGCTCTTTCATTGCCTGGTCTTCCTCTCTATATTTACATTTATCATTTCAAGCATTAAGCAGGCACTCTTAGCCTGGTTTACAGCTTAAACCCCATTCGAATTTATTCATCAGCAGCAAGATTACAAGTATGCAGGATGAAAAGGCAGCAAGAATATGCAGAAATATTCCAGCATCTCTCAAAAAAAATTATCTTTTATAGAGAGGAAGAAAAAAACCAAGAAGAACAGAAGTAAATATATATTTTTCTATTGGAGGACATGATGCAACAACACACACACATTTCATCTCCCCGTGTCACCACGTCTTCCTTTCCTCTCTCCTAAAATATGTTGTGTTACTGCAAGCACGAGTGTAAACAAGCTATTGCCAGTAAATGAAAAAAAAAATACGGAAAACAAAATTACAACCAGATGTAGTACACAAGTACGCTCTCACATGACAAAACAGCAGTGGTATGCTGGACACCAAGGACACAAACATACACGAGGAGGAGGAGGAGAAGGGAGCGGCGCTGAGAGTTGTATAAAGAGCAGATGGATCAATAAGTGCGAGACAGAAATGAGTCAAATCACTGAAATATATATTTGTACAAATTACAAGCATTGACCAACATCCACAGGTTTATGACTACAGGTGTCTGGTTTTCTATATCTCTAAGGGTTTGAGCGTTGGTTGGCGGTAGTGTCTCATGTTGGCTCCCGGTTGGGAGGGTTTGAAGGGGGCCTGGGCGCCGTAGGGTTTGGGCAGAGGGAGCGAGTCGTCCTGGGGGATGTATGCGGTCGGACGGGCTTCAGCCGTGGTGTACGTTCCATTCGGCAGCCGGAGCCACTCGTCCTCTTCAGCAAGCTGCACGCACAGACACACCAGAGGCAGTTTTAATATTTGATGCAGGACTGCATGACCTTGGACTAAATAGTTAGAATTCTTGAATTTTAATCATGAAAATGGAATCATTTCAAGATAATGCACAAAAGAACATGTTGAGTGCACGAGCCAAGACTCACAATCACTGATTAAAGTTTAAAGGATTCAGTGAGCTGCACGTGTTTGTCTATCTGACCGGCAGGTTATGATGCTCAGATCAAATGAAAGCTGCTTTTTCTTTTCTTTCGTGAACATGTCGAGTAACCAGCTGGCTACTGTGGTTTTTAGTCAATGATACAGTTTATATGAATAGATATATCATAAAATGACTTTTTTTTTTGTCACTGACAGTGGCTGGCAAAATTGATGTGAACCCAATATGGATGATGAATCAATTTGTAACCATGGCGGACTTCTGCTGAGAAAAAAAAAGAAAAAAACCTCTTCCAGTGTGCACATGTGCTCACGACACTACAGTCCTCCCTTTGACTTTCACCCCACAACAGCGAAATGCAAATGAACTGTGCCTAAATCTAACTGAGACTTCAAAGAGACGGCGATTTTCTCATGCATATGAACAGTTTATCCGCTGGCGTGTGATCTAAGGACCACACACAAAAACAAAGGAATAATGGCTTTGAATGCAAACAAATAGCAGGAACTGGCAATAAATAAAACGGGACAAAACACATTCTCCCTCATCAGGTTCATAAAACACATTTACATTTCAAGAGGAACCTTGAAATGCATGACAAACACTAAATCTGCAGAAGAAGATTTATTGGTTATGCATTGTGCATGCAGAGAAATACAATTGAAGTAAACTGGGGGGAGAAAATACAAGTCGCCATCATAACAGACTGGTTTCAGACACAACGGATCCCTGTTTGTGTTCCTTGTAGACTGCGTCTAATTCTGTTTGTTTGCCAGTCTGCCTCGTGTTTGTGCATGTGGTGAAAACAATCCTACATCCTGTCTAATCTCTGTGTGTGGAGAGTTTCTAGTCACTTCTCCGTCTGAGTCTGTGCATGTCCAGGTATGCAGCAGCCCCTATTGTCCCTCAGAATCTTAATCGATTCCTGCTCCACTTCTTTTGTTTTTCTTTTGTCATTCCATCTTCTTTTTATGCCCCTCAGTGCTTTAATCAATTCTTGACCAGTGATCTTTGTGTGTGTGTGTGTGTGTGTGTGTGTGTGTGTGTATGTGTGTGTGTGTCTTTACCCTCTCCCTCTCCTCTTTGTCCCTCTGTCTCCTCTTCTTGTCTCGGAGCATCCTCCTCCACTCCTCCTCTAACTCAGGGCATGGTGGCAGGCCCTGCTCCAGCTGCAGCTGGCACCTGTCCATCTGGAAACACAGGGGCAAGCGCGACAACCGTTCACTTTGTATTCCTATCACTCTGCACTCTCCTGGCTCAATTCAATTCTAACTGCGCCTGAAAAAAAACAGATGCTCGCATTACTGTCAGAATTTGGCCAAAGTTATGCCTCTGCATTTTCTAGTTCTACTTGTGTCAGCGGCACGCTGCAGGCAAACATCAGCTGCGAGGGTTCTTCAGGTTACTAACATTTGGAAGGCATTTTGGGAAATCCTCTCATCTTAGTAGTTTAATCTTTAATTGAGACAGAAAACTTTCTGACTTTCTGTTCAAACCAGTGTCAGAATTTCAAAATGTTTTGCTTAAATGATGATTTAGCTGATGGCTCTTTGCCTTCCCTTAAAAGGCAGAATGAGTAGGATTTGTCGGTTTTGGTTTGTAAACACAACATTCGAAGTTGGTCCCTCCTCTCTGGCTCAACGACACCAAAGGCACCCGCCCCGTCCCGCCCATTTGTGTAGCTCCATCCTGGATGCGTGCTTTACGATCTGGCACCTGGTTACTACGTTTTAACGCTCAGAAACAACAACACAACAATATATGATTTAACGGTGCAAAAACAAAGTGTGTATTACGAACGATTGCTTTCTACTAGCCAAGAGAGACGCGATGGGTTCAAGGCAGAGGTGGAATAAAAATAAAGTTTAACGTTGAAGTACTGTAATTTCACGTCACTGTGCATCACACCTCCACGTCTCATTTGATAAGCAAAGAATATTCAGAGGTTGACTTACTGTTAATATCAATACGGGTAGGAGCAGACAGCCAGGTGGGTCAATTGGCTGGTTAATATTTCATCAGGTTATGTGGCTTGAATGTAAACAACATTGGAGCTTTTCTTGGTTGCTATGGATATGGTATTTGCTCATGGGCTGCTGGTGCCAGCATTTATATATTTCAAAAATATCGTTTTCATGAATTATTTCGGCTACGATAACAATGTAAAAGAAATCTGATATTGTGACAGCCCTAAATCCTGCAGATACCCAACCTGTTTAAAAAAACACTCACCGACTGTGAATGCTCCCGGACCCGTTCGTTGCTGTAATTAATTTGTTTATTCTTGAATCGTTTATTTTTCTGTCACTGACATGTCATTTTCATGAACCCCTTTGGAGTTTTCTTCATGAAAACTATTAATGAATATTATTTCGTCTCTCTGTGTTTGCCTCCCGATTCATTTTTTACCGTGCAAATAAGCAAAAACAAATAGGTTCGAGGGGAATGATGGGACACGGTGAGAAATGACTGTTCTTCGCTTGCGGTCAGAGGAGAGAGAGACAGGAAGAATAAGAAAGACAGTGGGAGACTGAGGGGGTGAATGTGCATCCAAGATCCCACTGTTTGAGCTGCGAGCGACCGGGACCACCTCTGACCTGGAGCTCTCTCTCTTTGATCTCTTGTTGGAGAGACAACGCAACAGCCTGCTTCATGGCGAGCTCTGCAGAGACGGCCATCATGCGGTGGTTGGTGTCGATTATGTGAGTTCGCAGCTCGTTTAACTGGAGGGCAGACAACACAAACACACACACACACAGATTAACTCAACCAACATGCATTTAGACTCAGAATTAATGACTTGATACACATAAGATACAAGTAGTGAAGCTAATTATTCAAAATATCTGATTTCATTTAGATCTGTCTCGATGCAAAATGACCATCGTGATGCCAAATTCATCTTCATTCATGTCATTATTACATCCCCCGAGTTATTACAACCTTGTTGAACCTTGTTCTTGAGGCTATTTATATGTCTATATACAGACAGCCAATGAGGGATAAAGAGAGACGGAGTAGGAAGGAAACTGTAATGCTCGGTGAACTCCTTAATGCCCGCTCTGCGTGCTCCTCACATGGACCGCACATAATCCTCAAACAATGTGCGAGTGTGTGCGTGAGAGAGACACAATGGGAGGTAAAAAATAAAAAAAACGTGAAGAAACAGGTGAATGATATAACAAGTATCTGTGTGTGTGTGTGTTAATCTGAGCACTTATATTCCGTTGTGTGTGTGTGTTTCTGTCTGTGTGTGTGTGTGCGTGTGTGTACATGGGCTAAGCCTCGTCTCAAGTGGATCTTGCCATCTACCTTCTTTGCCAGCGAGAGTCTGTCCTGATGGCAGTCCTCAGCCTGCTCGCTGAGTGGCTTCGAGAGCCGGGTCACCTGGTCCACGAGGAGTTCTTTTTCCAGCGACTGCCTCTCGCTCTCTGCTAGCTTCACCTCCAGCTAAATGCAAAAGGACACTGTTATTATGGCAAAAATCATGAAAATATCCCCGAAATTCATTCAAGTAGATAACCTTGATTGCATGCACACACATAAAACACCTTGTGATGTCGTGTACCTGCTCAATCTTCTTGACCAGTTCCACAAACGACAGGTCTTTGCCTTTCAGTTCTTTGTAATCAACAGTCCGGCTCAGACCTTCAAGTTTCTCGTCCCTGGCTTCTGACAACTGAGAGACACCAAGGGAATTAGAGACAAAAAACAAGACTATAGGTTGGCACTGTGTAAGTAACACTGTATGTACATATATTATAGACCTACACTATCAGCAAAACTGTAGTCATCATGTCTCTGTCGTTGCATGTAAACAATACAGTAATTTCCCACAAGAGCCCACTTCACACAAATAAAGTGAAAAGCAACACATCTATAGAGTTCGTCAGCTACTGTCTGTGTTTCCAGTACCTTGTCCTCCAG